GGTCAGGGCTTGGTCCGCCGGGGCCGGGGCCGGGCTGGGAACTGGGCAGAGGGGCGCCGTCGGCTGAGCCTCCTGCAGCCCGCGAGCGGGCCCGGGCAGCGGGGCTACCGGCTCTTCGAAATACGTTTTCTTTTTCCTTTTTTTTAACAAAGAAAAATCTGACTTCGAGAATGAAAGTAAATCTCAAGACCTTCATCTTTTTCATGGAGCCAAAGGGTGGTTTTCGAGGGGTGGATGCAGAGGACACAAATTTCAAGCATGACAGCAAAGAAACCCCTTCGGCTCATATCAGTTTTTAGAAGAAGAATAAAACTTCTCATATATTCCTGGACTCCACACACGTGAGCTCTGTTAGTTGTCACTAATACGAGCAATGCAGGAGCATAAAGAGGGTGAAGTGGACGATCAGCTCATTGCTGTGAGTTAAGAATAGAAGGGACAAATGCTATTCTCATCATAAACGTTTTCCTTCTTGTTCTGTACTGCAAAAGGAAAGACACTTAATGCTGTGCTTTGAAATCACATTGCAATCCCAATCTGATGCTTCATGTTGGTTTTAATATAAACACGGTCTAGTTGCATATGCAGCATTGTAAATCAGATCCTCAGTGTCACTGGAGCTACCCTGATGGGAGATCAGAATTAGGTACAGTATTTCCTCCCTGCCAGTAACAGGTTTTGAATGGAAAGCCTGGAATGTAAAAAAAGAAATAATGCTAAAAATCCAATCACTCTGACATCCTGTGAGCTAATGAGAGCACGTGAATACAACAAGCTTAGTACTTCACAGTAATTAATTTGACAGCAAAGAGCTAACAAGAAAACAACAGGCAGAGCAGTGATGACTGGTTCATGGAGGTCACTGTCAAACAAGAAATAGGTGCAAACACAGTCCCTCTCCCTTTGAAAACAACTATTCCATTGTACCAGTGAGAATGAAATGCCAAAAAGGGACAATATCATGTCTTCGCTGAGGATAACAAATCCGGGAAGGTATTTCTCGTAGAAGGCTTTCTTTTTTACATATGATGATTCTTAAACATCCCTGTTACTCACTGTGGTGGCATGTTTTACCTCCCCCCACCCCTCCTTTCATTTAACCAAACCCATTTTGCATATTCAAATATTGGGAAGACTTATCTTCTCTAGCAATTACTAACAAACTAATACACGAATAACCTCTATTGTTATTTAAAGTGTCCAACAGCATTCTGAAGGCAGCTCTCACACAATGGACTTTCTCTGGCTTCTTCCTAGAGAAGAACTTAATCAAACCTTAGATGCTTTCAGGCAGAAGGGCCTACAGGGAGAGCAAACAGGGTTAACGGAAAGAAATGTGCCATTTGATTTCTAATCTTGCTCAGGGAGCATGGCCTATTGATTGAGCCATAAAGCTCTGTTAATTTTAAGACCTCCTCAGCTTTCAGTTCTTTCCCCTGGGCATAAACTTGTTGCTTACACATAGCGGCTGAACTATCAGGGAAAGGGTAGCTTCACACTCCCCCCTCTCCCCTCTCCTCCCCTCTATTCTATTTGTTCTGAGCTCATCTGTGTGAGGACACATTTTCACACACACCTTCTCAAACCGGCTGCTATTCATCTGATTCAGGGTCATGCTTTTCCATACATTAAATGCAGAGGAAAACTGGGAAGGAAATGGCTGAGATTTGTGTTTAATGGGTAAGCACATGGTTAGCCAGGGAGCCCTGCTGTGAGAAAGTAGAGTATCAGAGGATATTTTCTGTAGAAACATCAAGTCTCATGACTTGAATGTGATGCTTATAAAAGTTAGTAGTAGCATGAAATAATTATAAACAGAGATCTTCAGCCAGTGTAAATCAGTATGTTTCTGAGGTATCAAACCCCTACAGCTCTTCCTCTATAACCTAGATATTCGCTAATGTACATTTTTCTCAGATGCAGAGGTCACACTTTTGGAGAGGCCAGTCAGTGCAGCTCTGCACCTTCCTGAGGCAGTGGGAAGCTCTAAAACCTGAGTAGACAGCGGTGGCACAAGGCAGCTCCCTCACTGCTCTGCGTTTCCATGATGCCTTCAGTAGGACCATAAACAATTTACACTAACATTGCTAAAGCACCTTTTATGCTCTTAAACCATTAATAATATCCATTAGGTAACCTTACTAATCCCTCGGAGGAAAGATTTTCTTTACTGTACTGATGGCTGAACTGAATAAAGCTTCATTTATAAGAGGCCCAGTTAGCACTAGAAATGCTGCTGCTTTGATAACCAGCAAATACAAGTTTTACTAGCACAAGCAACTTTTTCTGCAAGTATTTCCCAAATAAAATAGGCTATACTGGCAAAAGCACTTTTTTTTTTTTTCTCATATAGCTGCATCTATACAGGGGACTTTTGCACGTAGTGAAATGCAATCTGTTTTAAATGTCACTTCAGAAGAGCATTGCTATCTCACAAAAGTTTCAAGGCTAGACCTTGAATTATATACTTCTGCCTCATCTCGGAAAACTTTTTACAAAGTGGCCATCGTCATCTTGTGGGAAATATAGAGAAACTGAGGTGCCAGCAGGGACAGGCTGGGAGTGCTGTGCTCTATCTGGAATTTGTATTCATGCTGTTCTTTTGCTCCAGATGAAATTATGTATCCATAATCAGACCGATTCCCTCACTATGCACAATTACTTTTTAAACAAATGCAGCAAAACCAATGGATGTTTCAAAAGCACCATAAATCTGTAGAAGGGAAAGTCCTATTGAAAATCAAGTAGGTAAATGCTGTTCTGAATGACCTGGACACTTTCTGAACTGGCAAAGGTAGACCTAACTCATGGGGAAAAGACACTAAAGGGTTAATCTGGCTCCTTTGCTCCTGCCTGTGCTTCTTTAACGGAAAACTCTGCTAACAGAGATTTGCTCTCTCTGAAAAAAAAGGGTCCGACTTTGAACATCACTTAGAAAAAGGGAGTACAGCAGACAGAAACAAAGAACCTGACCAAACTGGGAACTCCTCATCTAAAGCAGGTACAACAAGAATCTGGAAAATGAATCACAGAGAAATAAAA